CCCTCTAGCCCTCTATCTGATATATAGCCAGCACCACTTGCTTGAGACTAAGGTGAAGAAAATCCTGCAATGGGAAGCTAAGGAATAATTTGCTGTAGATAAAGTTACTTTGCTCAGAGGTTATCTTCAGCCACAAAGCAGAAGGCTTGCTATCTGATCCTAAGCAGCATGAATCTTTACTTGGCACTCTGCAGGAGAGTAAGATCTCCCCATTGTTCCTGGCCATGCTTTCCAAAATCCGTCTTTTCTGCAGGATGGAGGTACCTTGTCCCTAGATGGAGCTGTTTTTCACCGGTGTGTCAGGTATAGGACCAGCAATGACAGACCCTGTGTTTCACAGTTTATTATCAAGAATATTGCTATTTGCTGCCTGTTGTTCTCCCTGATGCTCAGTTCTGCCTCTGCTTTTGCTTTTTCTAAGGATGTTTGTGCTTAAAAAAACCCCAACAAAATAAAACAGAAAAGAAAAAGGAAATTATTATGTAACCTCTGGTACAGGAATCTGATTAGGAACAGGCACAGCATTTCAAAGAACCCAGGGAGAGGTAGGGGCAAATTGTCTGTATGAGTTACTTTGAAAATTGTCATGCATTATATCGCCATAAAATAATGATCAGGAGCTGGAAGAACAAGGATTATTCCCATGAAAAGCCACTTCTCCCAAACGGCAGCACTGCATTAAACCAGTTGTGTACATAATATTTCATTAAGAAATAATATTGTTAGTAACAGATGTCCATTTTCAGCAGAGCAAATGTAGATGGGATTTTATTGTTTCTCACTTTTACATAAATGGATCCGGAATGGTGGTATCCCTGATTATGAAAAGCTGCAATTAAATGTTAAAGTAATAAAGCTCTGGTTAGCCATCGTGCCCAGAACTTTGCTTCTTCCAAAGAGCAGGCAAACAGAAATGCCAGCTTTTAAAGCACTAACCTGCTGCGGTTTTGGAGTTGTTTTCTAGGTTGTGTTTGCCTCCTTTTCCGATCCATGCAAACAAACCTACAGATTAGCATGTGTGTCTGTGTGTGTGTGTGTGTGCATGCGCAAGTAACCCAATTTCTGCCTTTCAGACTTTGCCCAGATTAGAGGCCAAGCCCTGCAATGTGGTGGTGAAACATCCAAGCTGGAGTGGGGGCTTAGTTTTTTCTGTGTTTGATGTTAACAGGTAGACAGAAATGTTCCTTCACGGGAACAGATTTATTTGGTGCAGCTCTATCATTTTATTTATTTACTCATAGCCTCAGTCTTGTTTTGATGCAAAACTCTGCCTGCCTCCCCCGTCCCCCTTCCCCTCCCGCCTTCCCTAGAAGTGACATGATCAAAAGCTATTTCTTCTTCAGAGTGATTTCCAGTAACCTCCAGAGCAGTTTTTTTAATTAAATAAACCTCATCTTGTCTAGCTTTCTGGTCAGCATTTTGAACCCCCTGCAGATGGGTCTGAAGGATTAACAGCAAATCCTCCTCGACCCAGCTCAAGCAGATGGGCGGCATGTGTCTGATAAATACTAGGACAAGGTCTGCTTCCTCGTGTTTCCAACAGATAGACGGTATACCCTGTAAATTAAATTTAAAATGGTGGCCCTTTCAACCCTTAGAATAGCAGAGGAAAAGGAATACAAATGATATGAATTTCCTATTTCTAGCACATTGTCACACCACTGAGTCAAACATCACCTGTTGGGTAAGTGGTACCTCCAGGGAAGGCTGGGTCAGTAAAATGCCGAACTTACTGAGAGCACAATGTGTGTGAGCCCTATGTGTATCTGCTGCATCTCCTTGCTGATGGCTTTTATTTGCATATCAGTTTGCAGAGTATCCTCTTTCCAAATGAATGTCTCTTTCACAGGCTGTTGCAATAGGAGGCAGACACCAAGTTCCTGGGTGTGCAAAGTGCAACGGGGTTGTGCTCAGTTACCTGAGCAGAGAAAGGGCCATTTTCCCCTGCTATTTGCTTGCAAGTGTCAGAAGTGGTGAACATTGTTTCTGCGGGACAGGACAAGCCATAGAATTGGAGGGAAGTCTTCATCCTACTTTTGATTGCTCTGATAGATGTCCTCCAGGCCCATGGATTTGCCAGTTCCTTAGCAGGCAAATTTCATAAAAATTAATCAAACCCTTTCTCTTTTCTTTGTGCCATTTTGATTTTCTCTTTTTTTTTTTTTTTTTTTCTTCTTTTGAGGAGGAAAAATACAGGCATTTTTAAGTGTTTTGCTTTACCTGTCACTCTTCTTGCTATTTCTTGCCCCTAGGGTGGTGGTCCCTCAGGAACTGCTCATGGACAGAAAGATTTGTCTACAATTGCACTGTGCATGGCTACTGCCTGACAGCATTAGTGGAAACTGCATTTCCCCGCTGACCTTGCTGCTAAGCTGGAGACTGCCAGTGGCTGTCACCTCCAATGACACTGCTTAGAGGGTCCTTGTCAGAACAATTACCACTGATATGTCACTATATCCTCTTGCGGAGCCTTTGGCTCCTGAGTCAGGATACCTGTGATATTTGGGGTATTGTGTTTAATGGCCAGATTTCAGGGATGTGGGATGCTTGTGAAGTCAGTGACTCTGCATCTCTGCAAACCAGTTGAGGAAGTGGTGGGAGCAATGCAGAGGCAGCAAGTGAGGTTGTCATTCGAAGACCCATTTAAAACGGAAGATAAAGAGACTGGGTCTGAGGATATCTCTTATTAGCGACATCAGCACATAATGGAGAGTGGGTTTCCTTTTTCTAAAACATTGGGTTTTGCACTTAGATAGTTTAGGCTATGATTGAAAGAAGAAAAAACAGTTTGACAGTGGCAAGCAAGTCAGCCAGCCTTTCCTCCCAGGGCGCTCAAGAAGCTGCAGGGTCATATATTCTGCAGAATCCTTTGTAGATAAGGTGGTGTGGGATGAATGCTCTTTTGGAAGGGTGATAGGAGAGGACAAAAGGGAGAACTAAAAGGAGTTTAGAATGTCATCAAGCTGGTGGACTAAACGATCAGCTCTTGCAAACCAACTTGCTCTTGACTGTGGGTGCACTAGCATCATGTTACACAGCTAAAAATCTTGTTCACAAAATCAGAAACAGTAAAACAGACAGGAGGCATCCAGCCTGTCTAGTTTCTCCTGGGCAAGTTTTGATTGTCTCTGGACTCTGTTTCTGCTAGTTCTTATTTTTAATTATCTAAATTACACTTTCCACATTGTTTCCTACAGCAAGATCATTGTGGGCCTAAGACCCCACATTTCATTATGCATCACTCATCCCTAACGATTGTAAAGTGCCAAGGTAGAAGCAATTTCTTTTATTATATATACCATGTCAGCTCACCTTTAATCCTCATGATAAGAAACATTTAAACTTCTTAATAATAGCTTGGAAGCTTGAGTAAGTGAAAAACAAAATCATTCACTGACTTGTTTTTCCAAACAATCACAACAGTTTAGAACATGAATCAGCAGTTTTCTTGGCTTGCCAAATGTATTTTCATTTTAATCACTTTTGCTGTACTTTCCATAGTATCTGCTTACACAGCTGGAGTTAGCTAACTTTATATGGCCTAACACAAGGAAGCTAAAAGATAATAATAAAGATAAGTGGAAATGCAAAGTTACGTTGTCAGATAATATAGTGTTCCTGACAGCACATACCTGTGTACTCACTGAATATTTCATTTGCCTGTGTGACATAAGCATACACTTTGAGCCAGAGGCCACATTTATCTGCTCTGTCACAGAGCAAAGTAGGGCTCAGTTGCCAATTTTAAAAGCGCAGATCTGTTCTGTTGGAGAACTGTTCAAAGAAAACTTATTTTTTATGGTAAGTGGAAAACCTGATGTTGAAAGGAACGAGCACAAGATTTTTTTTATAGCTGAGAATGTAGCAGTTGAGCAATTTGTACTGAATTAGCATATTTCTCCTTTTTTATTTTTTCTTTTCCCATCAGGATTGCAGTTTTAAATGTTTTCCAGATGGATTTTTGTGGGGGTTGTTAAAAATATATTTTCTGGGGTTTGTTAAAAATGAATAACAAAAATGTACAGTTTTTTCGCTTTCAAGACTGAAAACTGGTTTTCTTCTTCATGTAAAACATTTCTATCAATATATTTATAGTGGGTTTAAAGAAGGTTTAAAATTATAATGCAGTTAAAAGTAGAGAAAATTTCACCCAAACTGTTTTATTTTCCTTAACAATAGCAAAACACAGCTGTCTTTTGAAACAAGTTTCTGTGAGTTGTTGAGATCTCCTCCTCTGTACCTTTCCTACAGCACTTCTCCAGTGCCTGCTGAGGTTTGCTGGCTGTGGTGCTGAGGGTGAAAAGACAACAGATCTACTCCTCATCCTACCAAACCATACTGGGAAAAATGGCCTTTCTTTTTCTTCCCTACTGTGGCCTGTGGCTGAAAAGCAGGGAAACCCCTTAGGCCACAGCTGGCAACAGGTAAGCTGGACAAGGTGCAGGAGGCTGCACCTCCAGCCTGGCCACACATCTCATAGAATCACAGAATGGTTTGGGTTGGAAGGGACCTTAAATCTCATTCAGTTCCAACCGCCTGCCACAGGCAGGGACACCTTCCACTAGAGCAGCTTGCTCCAAGCCCCATCCAACCTGGTCTTGAGCACTGCCAGGGATGGGGCAGCCACAGCTTCTCTGGGCAACCTGTGCCAGTGCCTCAGCACCCTCACAGGGAAGAACTTCTTCCTAATATGTAGTCTCAATCTCTCCTCTGTCAGTTTAAAGCCATTTCCCCTTGTCTCATCCTTACACGCTCTTGTAAAAAGCCCCTCTCCAGCTTTCTTGCTGGCCCCTTTAGGTACTCTTCTCCAGGCTGAACAAGCACAGCTCTCTCAGCCTGTCTCCGTAAGAGAGGTTCTCCAACCCTCTTGAGCATATTCATGGCCTTCTTTGGACTTTCTCCAACATGTCCATGTCCTTCTTATGCTGGGTGTCACAGAGCTGAACACAGTATCTCTTCCCACGGAAAGACACCACAGAATGGATAAGCCTTAGGAACAATTATCAAGAATGGTGATTTATTCTCCACTTTCAAGTGATACTGTGAACCTTTTGAAGCAAAATGAGGTGGTTATTTTTCTGTTGTTTCTTTTTTTTTTACCAGGGATTCCCCAAGTGGATGGCTGTCAAAGATTTAATATACTGCAGGCACAGCAGCTAATTCTCAAATCTCTTGCAGAAGGATCTTACAGAGGGAAGCTAGGATGCAAATCCTTTTGAAGGCTTTTTCCATTTTGAAACCTATAAATAGGAAAGTAGGGCAAAATGACTTTGACAAGTTTAGACCTCACCTTCTTTAATTACTCTCTTTGGATCAACAACCTGACTGCAAATGCTTATCTTCTCCACCATTCCGCACAGGTTTGGAGTTTATTTTTTAAGAGCAGTGCATGACAATTCTGCATATTTTTAATACCCCTAGCCTCCACAGATTTCCATATTCCAGCCAATCTTTAAATTTATAATTGATATAAATGGGGAACAGGGTTTATTGCCTGAATTGTCCTCTCCATATAAAACATCTGTCCATTTATTCTTCTTTAAGAATGGTAAATTTCCTCCTAATGCTGTTTTTGTATTTCTTCTCCCATTTTTTAATAAATGTGAAAATTCAGATTCATTGTGTGCTGATATTGATTAGCAATAACAGTATCTACTTTAAACTACTAATACAACAAATTAATAAATTAGTTGCAAGAATGTTGGTTTTATAGATGATTAAAACAAAACACGTCTTGTTGCTCCTCTATACTGTATAATGTTCCTTTAATATGTAAGTATTGCATGTACACAGTGTAAAGAGCAAGCTGTTTCTACTACTTTACATGGGGCACACATGAAAAATGGCACAAGTATGATACGTACTGTACTTGATACAAGCATCTGTCTGAAGACCTGAGTCTTGGATATGGTAAGGTGCTCTACACCTCTCTGCAATATGAAAGGTTGTAAAACGTACTAATTTATTATACCATTTTGTTTATCATAGCAATATCCAGTCTTGATAGACTGTTGTGGTTTAAGTTCAGTCAGCAACTCAACCATGCAGCTGCTCGCTCACTCCCTCCGCTTCCTTCCCCCCCCCCCCCCCCCGGCTCCAGGAGGGATGGGGAGGAGAATCGAAAGAATGTAACTCCCATGGGTTGAGATAAGAACAGCCCAGTAACTAAGGTATAACACAAACCAATACTACTACCACCAATAATAATAATGATAAGGGAAATAACAAGGGAAGAGAATACAAGTGCTCACCACCCATGACCCATGACCAATACCCAGCCTGACCCAAGCAGTGATATCACCCTTCCGGGTAACTGCCCCCAGTTTATGTAGCGGGCATGACATGCTGTGGTATGGAATACCTCTTTGGTTAGTTTGGGTCAGGTGCCCAGTCTCTGCTTCCTCCCAGCTTCCCCTTCTCCCTGACAGAGCATGAGACTCAGAAAGTCCTTGGTCAGAGTAAACATTACTGAGTAACAATTAAAAACATCGGTGTTATCAGCACTGTTCCCAGGCTGAAAGTCAAAACCACAGCACTGCACCAGCTACTAAGAAGGAGAAAAAATGACTGCTACTGCTGAACCCAGGACACGGATATGGGAGAAACCCTTAGGGCAGGGGGAAGGATTTGAGGAGCTGAGTGGAAGTTAGTTTGTCTGACTGGGCTGAATGTGTGAGCCACCATCATCACACAAACTTGCTGTGAATTGTTTGCCCTGTAGATGACAGGTTTTGTTATCCATTTATGGAGTCCTTTGCTGTTATCAACCTGGCATGCGGTACCTGAGGACAGTCATCTGTGAGAGCTGCCACAAGGAAGAGCCTGTATTTGAAGGCAAGCAAACCAGGACCTAGATGCAGCTCAATCCAGAGACCTATGGACTCAGCCCAGAGACAACCAAGCTTAAATGACTAGGATAAACATCAGAAGAACCAGGTACTAAAGCACCTATCTCACTCCAGTTATTAACAGAACCCACAGATGAAGGGCTCTGAGAGGGACATCTCCAGACTGGTCAAGGAGGCTTTAAACTAGGTGTGTTGGGGGAGGGGGCCACCGTTCCATCCCAACACACCCAGTCAGTTGACAGCACCTCTAATAAATGCTCTTAGCAATATAGATATTCCAGCCACCCCAGCCAATGAGCTGGCTTCATTTGGAGCTCGGCTCAGATGCCTCTATACAAACACCCATAGCATGGGAAACAAACAAGAGGAATTAGAGATGTGTGCATGTCTACGGAGGTATGATATAACAGGCATCACGGAAACATGGTGGGATGGCTCCTATGTCTGGAGTGTTGGAATGGAAGGTTACAGGCTCTTTAGAAAAGACAGGCCCGGAAGAAAGGGAGGGGGAGTTGCTAATTATGTTAGGGATAGGCTGGAGAGTATGGAACTCTGTCTGGGGACAGGTGAGCAGTCAACAGAGAGTTTGTGGGTCACGGTTAAAGGGAGAGCAGCGATGAGAGCAGCGATGGGAGACATCACTGTGGGGATCTGTTACAGACTGCCTGATCAACACGAACCTGAGGATGAAGCACTCTACAGACAGATAGGAACAGCCTCACACTCACAGGCCCTTGTTCTCATGGGTGACTTCAACCACCCTGACATCTGTTGGAATGATGGTACGGCCCAGCACAAGCAATCCAGGAGGTTCCTCGATTGTGTGGATGACAACTTCCTTCTGCAAGTAATAGAGGATCTGACAAGGAGAGGTGCCATGCTTGACCTCGTGCTCCCCAACAGGGAAGGGCTTGTTGGAAATATGACGCTCCAGGTCAGCCTTGCTTGCAGCAATCATGAGATAGTCAAGTTCGAGATCCTCAGGAGAGTGAGAAGATTGTGCAGCAAGCTCACTGCCCTGGACTTCAAGAGAGCAGACTTTGGCCTCTTTAGGAACCTCCTTAGTAAGGTTCCATGCCATATAGCCCTAGAGGGCAGGAGGGCCCAAGACTGTTGGTTGATATTCAAGGATCACCTGCTACAAGCTCAGGAGTGTTGCATCCCGACTAGAAGGAAGTGCACCAGGAGGGCCAGGAGACCTCCTTGAATGGATAAGGAGCTGCTGAGGAAAATTCAAATGAAAAAAGAGGCTTATAAAAGGTAGAACCAAGGACAGGCTGCCTAGGAAGAATGCAGGGATGTTGTCCAGGAAGCTAGGGACCAGGTTAGGAAAGCTAAGGCCCAGTTAGAATTAAACTTGGCTAGCGATGTTAAGGATAACAAGAAGGGATTCTATAGCTACATAACGAATAAAAGACAGACTAGGGACAACACAAGCCCCCTCCGGAAGCTATCGGGAGAACTGACTGCCCTGGATTTGGAGAAGGCTGAGATTCTCAATGACATCTGTGCCTCGGTCTTCACTGGCAAATGCTCTGACCACACCACTCAAGTATTGGAAGGCAGATGCAGGGACTCTGAAAATGAAGACCTTAGGTCCACTGTAGGAGAGGATGCAGTTCGAGACCATCTTAAAACCTGCACATACACAAGTCTGTGGGACCTGATGAAATCCATCCGCTGGTCCTGAAGGAGCTGGCAAATGAAGTTGCTAAGCTGCTGGCCATCATATTTGAAAAATCATGGCAGTCAGGTGAAGCTCCCGATGACTGGAAAAAGGGAAATATAACCCCCATTTTCAAGAAGGGGAAAATGGATGACCCAGGGAATTACAGAGCAGTCAGTCTCACCTCTGTGCCTGGCAAAATCTTGGAGCAGATTCTCCTGGAAGGCATGCTAAGGCACATGAAAAACAACAAGGTGCTTGGTGACAGCCAGCATGGTTGGTGGCCTTCTATGATGGGGCTACAGAACTGATGGACATGGGTAGAGCAGTTGACATCATCTACCTGGACTTGTGCAAAGTGTTTGACACTGTCCTGCATGACATCCTTGTCTCTAAAGTGGAGAGACATCAATTTGATGGATGGGCCACTCGGTGGATAAAGAACTGGCTGGATGGCCGCATGCAAAGAGTTGTGGTCAATGGCTCAATGTCCAGCTGGAGACCAGTAACAAGTGGTGTCCCTCAGGGATCCGTGTTGGGACCGGTCTTGTTTAACATCTTTGTTGGTGACATGGACAGTGGGATTGAGTGCACCCTCAGCAAATTTGCCGATGACACCAATCTGTGTGGTTTGGTTGATAGGCTGGAGGTAAGGAGTGCCATCCAGAGGGACCTCGACACTCATGTGAGGTGGGCTGATGTCAGCCTTACGAAGTTTAACCATGCCAAGTGCAAGGTCCTACACCTGGGTCGGAGCAATCCTAGGCACAGCTACAGGTTGGGCAGAGAAGAGATTCAGAGCAGCCCTGCGGAGAAGGACTTGGGGGTGCTGGTCAATGAGAAAATGAATATGAGCCGTCTTCATTGTGCGTTTGTAGCCCAGAAAGCCAATCATATCCTGGGCTGCATCAGAAGGAGCGTGACCAGGAGGTGGAAGGAGGTGATCCTGCCCCTCTACTCTGCTCTCATGAGGCCTCACTTGGAGTATTGTGTGCAGTTCTGGTGTCCTCAACATAAAAAGAAAATGGAACTGTTGGAACAAGTCCAGAGAAGGGCCATGAGGATGATTAGGGGGCTGGAGCACCTTCCATATGAAGATAGGATGAGAAAGTTGGAGAAGAGAAGGCTGCGTGGAGACCTCATAGCAGCCTTCTAGTATCTGAAGGGGGCCTATAGGGATGCTGGAGATGGACTGTTCGTTAGGGACTGTAGTGATAGGACAAGGGTTAATGGGTTAAAACTTAAACAGGGTAAGTTTAGATTGGATATAAGGAAGAAATTCTTTACTGTAAGGGTGGTGAGGCACCGGAATGGGCTCCCCAGGGAGGCTGTGAATGCTCCATCCCTGGCAGTGTTCAAGGCCAGGTTGGACAAGGCCTTGGGTGACATGGTTTAGTGTGAGGTGTCCTTGCCCATGGCAGGGGGGTTGGAACTTGATGATCTTACGGTCCTTTCCAACCCTAAGTATTCTATGATTCTATGATTTTGAACATCTTTTTGCTTATGAGTCCCACTGTGACATGCTGGAACTCCATTCATCTGTCTGTCCATCCAGCCAAGAACTGCAGGTCTGGAGTATTATTCCCTATCTCCTACACAGGCAGGACAAGCTTTGCAGTAGGTGCCCAGTGATAATAGTTTACTCTGGTTTTCAGGTACCTTTCAGCTGGTTGTGTTGCTGTCTCTCATGCATTGTGGACCCTTTGCTTTTGCAATTATGCATTTT